TCTAATATGTAGATAGTAACTAAAAATTCTTCTTCTTAAAGAAAATACAGCCTGTAAGCCATAAAGTGAACGAAGTGGCGGCATTGAACCGCCATTTTTAGCGAAAAATAGCAGCCTTCATACAAGCCTATTTTCGCATGCATCCAGCGCGTTGAAAACTTTTCGCACGCAGTCGGCGTGTTGAAAATTATATTTTTCACAACGCAATAGCGTTGCTATATTGCCATCTTTTCAACGCTGTCGGCGTGTGAAAAGATACGAATCGGGTGCAAATTGTGTGTTTGTGATTGCTCGGGCCACGCGTTAGCTTGCGGGGTTCTTTTCCAATGTGGTGTACGCTGTTCTCTGACAACATCAACATTAAGTTTATTTTGCATAAACTTATCATCATGCTCTGACAGTTTGTGCATCTGACACGTATGTATGGCTTTGTCCAATGTGAGGTAACTTTCTCTTAACAGTATTTTCCGGGCACCGACAGATGTAATTCTTATGACTATTTTGTCTCTAATGATCTGATCGGGCCATAACAAAAATATTGTTTGTTTGCCCTCACCTGACCGACCCGCCAAAAAGGGGCTGACTAAAAAAAAAATTATTGATCTTTCCCAATCTTTTTTTTTACAAATTGTATCACTGTACATTATATAAATCTGTAGGCAATACATTATATGTACCAAGCAAAACAAACATTCAACATAAAAGGTATCTCCACGCAAGCACACCTAAGCATGTAGACACCATGCTGAATTTGTAAAAAGACCCGTCTAAAAAAAAAGCCGGGGTCGAGTGAGAGCAAACAAATATTTTTTTAATTGTGGCCTCACACAGTTGCCCATATTCACAGGTGCTTGCTTTATTGCGCAAATATGCTGCAAAAGCTTGTATAGTTTCACCTTGTTGTTGTACTCGGGAGTTAAATTTAAACCTCTCCAATATCACATTACTTCTCGGGTTACAAATTCTGTCGGGTTATTGTCTGTATTTACCGTTTCAGGGACTCTTGATTCTGCTGATATTACCGCTTCTGGATTCACCGGGTCTGGACGTACGTGCGCTCACCGGCTCGATGATCAAACGTCAATTTATGACAGCATCTGTATTGTGTGCAGCCTTAGTGGCGGTAAGGACGCAGTTCCTGCAGCAACCATGTGACACGGAGGCAGTTGAAGGTTCCAATGTTACGGTACCCTGCACGATTGACTTTAGTTTTAATTCCGTGGAAGAATTTCCTACTTTCCTTTATTGGTATTGTGACGGTTCCTACGTAAGTCCTACTGATGAAGATAAATATTCCTACATTGACGCCAACATGTACGACACAGGAAACTTTGGCTTGCTAATATCTAACTTGAGAGTTGAGAGAGATGACGCAGAGTTTTATTGTGTGTGGCAGCAAGCCGAGGTCGCGCCGGGGAGCGGCCATTTATCTAACAAGGGTCATCTAACTGTGCTTGTGCCACAACAGTCGGTTATCATGTCTCTTATAGACAGCTCTTCATCACCGGATGGAACACTACAGTTCTCCTGTGTATCTGACAGCAGTAACCCAGCAGCTAGCATCACCTGGTTGCTGAATGGTGAAAATATCACTGCCGACTCCAGTCAAACTGAGGAAGCGGGTTCAAGAAACAAGACATTTACAACAAAAAATATCCTGAGTCACAGGTTTTTAACGGAAGACATTGACAAAGAACTTCGTTGTCATATCTTAATTCACCAAAGTTTACCCGAAGAAGTGTTAACGGAGATTTTGTACATGGCAGACACCGTGATCATCGTCAGCAGCAACAACTCCAGTGATGATGACGTCATTATTATCGAGGCAGAAAAGCTGATTCTACGCTGCAATGCTGACGGCTATCCAGAGCCCTTTTACACGTGGTTGCACGACGACCAGGAGAAACAAGCTGCAGGCGACGAGCTGGTGATCGAGTTAGTCAAGTTTAAACACAGAGGATTGTACGCGTGTAAAGCAACTAGTGTGCTTGGAGAATACATGTCGAGTAACAAGTTGAATGTGACCGTGTTAGTGCCAGCAAAGAATGTCACAATGGCGATAGACGGCAATAATGTAGACGGTAATATGACGATACTTGCAGGATCCGTTGAGGTTAGCTGCACTACAGATAAAAGCTTTCCGGGAGGAACAGTAACATGGAAACTTGGTGATACATCTGTAGACGGAGCTAATACTTCACATGCCAGTGAAGTTGATGGAACTTTAACGACGTACAGCAAACTGACGCGTACGTTTACCGCTGATGATCACGACAAAATACTTACCTGTAATGTTAACATCCACGAATCATTCCAGTCACTGTCAGTCGATGTTCGGCTCAATGTTATTTACATTCGAGGAGAAGGAGTCAGCGGTGACAGTCAGGCAGGCGTTATGACTGTCAACCACGGCAGTGCGCTGTGGCTGCTCTGTAACGCAGACGGAAACCCCGAGCCAAGTTATTCATGGCTTCACAACGGAACTGTTATCCCAGCAAAAGTCAACAGCACGTACGAGAGAGGCTCTGTCACCCCTGTCGATGCGGGCGACTACTCATGCGCAGTCTGCAATCTTGCAGGAAACGTCTTCTCTGCCAATACAATGTCTGTGGTTGTTGTCCCTCCACCACAAACATCAAGCATTGGACTTATTGTCGGACTGGCCAGACCTGGCTTATTTCTTGTAATCCTTCTTGTAATCATGTCGGTGGAATCTACCTAAAGAGAAGAGATAAACGTGATCCTGATACTGTGTCTTGATACTGTGTTAAGAGACGGCGCACAAGAAACGTACGAAAACGAGGACTACATCACGGATCAAGAGCCACCAGCTGGTCATAAGCAGGTGTTCGCCACCCAACCAAACAGCAAACATCATGCAGTAGGGCAGTATGACTCCGGTACCAATGATATCTTGATCACACATGCAAGTCGTCACGAACAAGGGAATCCGCGACCAAGTGAAAAAACGAGCCAACGAGCCCGGTCCGACGAACCAGAAAATAATGACGAGGGTGGTTGTCATAGCTCTATCGGTGAACCCAACCCTATTCTACCCCCGACAGCATACTCTTCCCACACTAATTCATTACACGTTAGTTCTAACCGTGTTTTCAACCAATCGCTGACAACAACAATGACTCAACAAACTGACCTGCCGTGTTATGCTGGCATTGGTGGCGTCACCGTAGTTGACGGTCGCCTGGACACCCTCGTATGAGAACCTAGCGCGGGAGCGGACACTGGCTTCTCTCGCGTTGTTTATATTATGCACATAACATCATCTCGTAACATCATGCAGCACAAAAGTTTTATTAATCATGTGTTTGCCAGTGAAATTACTTGAAAAGGTAGCAATGTGTGATTTTAAGTATAAATTTGTCGGTATTGTTGTTTTAGTGGTATCTTATTATCGGCATGAGTAAATCGTTGTTCACAATATATTGAAAAGATATCAAACTTGTTCACTCGTCAAAGAATATGAGATGTGATACACATGAAAATGTTACTTTGTTAAATTTTATATTTAAACAATATTGTTTAATTAAACGGTTATGGGATTATATAATTAATTATGTAATGAAGCTAAAGTTAGTTACGATATAGAGCAACGCCGCAGGACAGGCACGGTTCTTTGGCCACGTCTACGTCAAGGCTAGATTACACAGAGAAGCAACCCCCTTTCTAACTAAGACCGTGTCGCCCAGCTAGAGTCGTAAAGAACATGATTAACGATGATCATTAGTCCAAGCAAGGGACGTAGAACTGCATGGTACAAAGAAACACTCCTTCTAGAGAATGTAGACAGTGGTCAAGATGACCACTGGTCTAGACATCATTAACCTACACTAAAAACTCGTAGCACTACTAAGTCACGTACGAGGCTAATTGCCTTTAAATGTAGAATATAAACCGTACTTCTGGACCCAAACAGCAGTTCAATCCAGGGTACCAGTCTGTGAGTATGTAGTATTAAAGCGCTTGGTCAGCGCTTTGACAGTTCTCGTATATGTGTTATAGTTTAGATCTTACCGTATTCGTGTTATAGCATGCGTCTTAAACGTATGTCTTAAAACTCCTTTTAAGACTAGTAAATGTATTTACGTGTGTAAACTCCTTTTAGAGATCTTGCATTAAATATGTAACTAATAACTTGTCTCTGTAAGTTTTGTGTAAGAATTAAATAGATATATTGTTGTACGTACATTTCGTGTCTGTCTACTTTGTGATTACCTCAGGGTACCTCACAAGGGTGCCCGCGCCAAGCAGGACCTTTGGGTTAGTACGTCACATGGTATATACACTATACATTATACGTCACGGGCCACGATCACACACATCACGCACACGAACACACACGAGAGTACATATATATATAAACGAATCTTTCATTATTACACTGATGCCGTTTCCCACAGCTTGGCAAGGTATAACACGAGTAGACAGATTCATTTTGTTAATAACAGTGTCTAGTATATTTAAGAATATTTGTTGTATTTGTGTACAAACGTGCGTACAGTACAGTACATCAAATACGTTTTTTCTCTAAGGCAGATTTGTTTCTAATAGTAATAGACGTCTTTTTAATTAATTGTCGTTGGTCATCTACGTTCTAATATAGTTCGTTGATATATTGTGTTGCTAATATGACTGTTGTTTTTATGTATACTCGGTATGTCGGTATACAATCCGAGATCTATGTCGGTATACACTCTACATTCGTCGCGTGTGAGCGCGGAGACGAAGCACGAGGCGAGAGTGTCGCTGCCGTAAGAAATGAACATGAAACCGTAAGTGCACGTTTACGCCTGTGATTGCTGATTAGTGGATCTGCGCATGATCTGTTGGTTATTATATATACACCCTTTATCACGAATATACCCTAGTGCTATTAACGTTATTTTACCTTTTTGTCAGACGATGAAACTGATATTTCATTTTTTTCTCGACAGTGTTTATGTAACAGCTTGTAAACGAGAGACAAGGTTAGTTTTTTTTTGGTTTTTTCAGTTGTCGTAATGAAACTGGGGAAAACAATAGTTTTAATCCGTATGTTTTATGATCTACTTTCTCCACCCGCCCGCCCCACTATCATCATCGCCCGCCTTGTGAGTTTCTCAACTGCGTTGTACAATGCCATTTCATACATACATACGTACAGTGGTACCACAGTGTCATTATATTGCACAGCCATGACAGAGAGTCAGGAAGTAAGAGAGAGAATCGCTGAGAAAATTCGTCCACAAAGATTTACGAAAGTGAAGGTGAGACGAAAGTCATTAACGGTTAACGAGGTCAGAGAGCCGTCGTGTAGCCCCAGGATTGTACTATCAATCGCGCAGCGAAATTTCACACCATTCACTAACAACGGTTTGAGGGCACCTATGTGGCTATATTTTTTCGTATATACAGGGTTTGAGACAAGGTCAACCAGGTTGAAGAACAAATAATAACATGCCACTCACATTTACAGTGCTCATGTCACTGCGATTTGTACCCCCCTAGGGCCCGAAAAACAACCACCCACCCACCGTCTACCTGTTTAAATTCATTATGCAACGTACATTTATGCACGCATATTCGGTTATGACGATACTTGAGAGCCGCCTAGAGTCCTAGACGACTCCCTCTGATTAACTACAGGTTAGATAAACGGGACGTCATTTGCGTTGATCAGCAATTAGTGCCTTGGTAGGAGTGATCACCTACTAAGCTGTTGAAGCCCTGCAACGAACGCAAAACACTAATCCAACAGTGAGAGATCATAGCACTTCGTTATTGTTATTATTATTCTTTTCTTGTTTTTCAATTTTTTTTCCCCAGCCATACGACAGTACTACAGCGAGAGTTCTAGATAGCACACGCAGAGATATTATATCAGGGATTTAACTGATTATGCTTTAACCACTCGCCCCACCCCCATATATCCGATTGTGTGATATTCGAGCAAATCATGTTGTATGATCAGGCGCAGATTCTAACTGATTTAGTATTTTCAGGTATAGAGGTGCACTAGTGTCAGTAAACGGCACGTATTTCTGTTTGTTGGTGACCACCTACTACTTTCAGTTTTTTTGACCACATAATATATGTTTAAATTTTTATGATTTCACTTCTGTGTACTTTTAGAGCATATTACAGTTTATGTATTGAGTACGATGTTACACGTTTATCGCATGCTTACCTTTTTGATTTCATTGCAATTTCGTTTTATCTATGTTGTTTTTCAATCTATATTTCTTTAGATTATATTTTCTTTTTGCAATTACGTAATTACGGGATTTTTTTTTCATACATGTATAACTTGTTGGAAGGCGTTCTTATAACACCTTCGACTTTGTTTATTTCGTTCGGTTTTTGATTATGATATTCACGACCAGTGAATAATCCTATGTTTATCAGTTTTAACAGCATTTCTGTCTCATCACTACTTATATGCTAACACCGTGGATACAAACTACAACAAGGCGACCATACCCAAACGATTCTAAACCTGGAAAACACCGTGATCAACGTGCGGTTGAGTATTATCCTGCATGAAGACTTGCATTGTGCGTTGCATTATAACGTTCACGATGTCTAATCCTTCTCTACTCTTCTACCAAGTCATTACCACACCAGATATTCTACACTGCCGATCAGCTGAACCAAACGACAACGACACCACCACCACGGACACCAGCACTAACAACGGACACCACCACTACCACGGACACTACAACCACCACGAACGCCACGCACCACGGGCAGCAGATCCGACACTTCGAGACTGCCGATCGCCGCCGTCGCCTAGCAACCAGGTTCAACACTCCAGGAAGACCAGTTCTCGCTGTCACCCCGATGCCATGTTCGCTCACGCTTACACCTCCACCCCCACCGACATCCACCCTCCCCCCCGCCTACTTCCTCAGATGGATCCCATCGGACACTCACATTCCCACTCCCGAATATATTCCCCCCTACCCCTACACGCAACCCCAAGAGCGACCCCCAACCTGCTACTTCGACTTCGGACGTCTTACTACGACTACATGGAGTCCTGCCATCGACGCAGATACGACGCCTTGATGTTCTGGAGCGAGAAACTCAAACGAAACATCGTCCGAGCGCAGTCCTAACCACCCAGCACCAGATAGTTGAGACCAGACCACTAACACGGAGAAGCCACACGGAGAAGCCCCACGGAGAAGCCACGCAAATGAACCGACGGAGCCACGGAGATACTCCCACGGACAATTAAAGACGACAGATTAATTAAGGAATAGTTAAGTTTTTGGAAGAGGGGATTAACACACTATTTTTTCAAAAGAAAAGGGCATAACATGAATAAAAAACGTACAATATAACCTTAAAGTTCTTCGCTATAGAATATAGCTCATAAACTTTTTCATAAAGAGGGGAGCAGTGTAATGAAGCTAAAGTCAGTTACGATATAGAGCAACGCCGCAGGGCAGGCACGGTTCTTTGGCCACGTCTACGTCAAGGCTAGATTACACAGATAAGCAAACCCTTTCTAACTCAAGACCGTGTCGCCCAGCTGGAATCGTAAAGAACATGATTACACGATTACATCACTTAGTCCAAGCAAAGCGGCCGTAGAACCTGCCATGGCATACAAAGAAACAAGCCCTTGCTAGAGAATGTAGACAGCTGGTCAACGATGACCACTGCGTCTAGACATGCATTAACCTACACTAAAAACTCGTTAGACTACTAAGTCACGTACACGAGGCTAATTTGCCTTTAAATGTAGAATATAAACCGTACTTCTGGACCCAAACAGCAGTTCAATCCAGGGGTACCAGTCTGTGAGTATGTTAGTATTAAAGCCGCCCTGGTCAGCGCTCTTGACGTTCTCGGATATTTGTTATAGTTATGGTCTTACCGTTATATCGTGTTATATAGTATGCGTCATTAAACGTATGTCTTCCAAACTTCCTTTTAGACTAGTAAATGCTATTGCGCATGTGTAAACTCCTTTAGAGATCTTGCATTAATATGTAACTAATAACTTGTCTCTGTAAGTTTATGTGTAAGAATTAAATGATCGATATTGCTTGTACGTACATTTCGGTCTGTCTACTTTGTGATTACCTCAGGGGTACCTCACAAGGGCCCGCCGCCAAGCCAGGACCTTGGGTTAGAACCTCGCATGCTACTTAACATATCGATTATACACACGGGCCACGATCACACACATCCACACACACGAACACACACGCAGACATGATATATATATATGAACGAATCCTTCATTATTACAATTTAAATATTAGAACTTGTAGATTGGTATCCGTGCGTATAACGATTTCTTTCTCAGCTCGGATCTCGCGCAAAAGCACATTTATAACACAGACGAAGACAGCAGAATATCACAGCCACCTGTACCACAAACAACCAAAGCTACCATATGTTTCTGAAAAAACCCGCTGAACTCGTTTACCGAACAGACCTGAAGACTCGCTCCTTATATATTATTATATATTATATAATATAAGATTTGATATTATATAATCATGAAACAAAATTATTATATCAAAAACTATATATATGTATATATATATATATATATATATATATATATATATATATATATATATATATATATAATTATAATTTCTACCTGAAGTACTGCATGAACAGGTCGTCGTCCTTCTCCATCCGATCGACGAGGTCGTCCCAGTCGCACGGCCGCAGCGACGCACGTAACAATAGCAGGCAGGCAAGTATGACGTTTGAACATTGCCAGTTATGGTACTTTTCCAAACGTTATACATGTCTGCCGTAGTCATGCATTGGTTAGGATTTTTGTGTGAAATAAATATTTATATGTAATTTAAGTAAATAAAGAAATAATATTATTTGTTCTTGTCATAAATTTGAGTTATTTATTGTGTTTCTGTGTAATATCTGCCAATTGCTGGTCCCTATAACCTCATAATATTGGATTTGCCAATTCTAAACTACTAAAACCCAGTCCCTGCCATTTAAAACTATGGTTCTCTTCATATTAGAATATGCTTCATCAGGATTATGCATCTATACACTTCAGAACCGTTCTAAATTAGATGCCATTCAGTATAAAGCTCCGAGGTGGGTTTACAAAAAATATCATGATGGTTCTGAGGTTGTTTTAACTCAACCTAATTGGCCTCCTCTCCGTGTCTGCTTTCTCCATGCTAAACTTATAACCTTTCATTTAAGTATCAAATTATTTAATTATTTAGTATTCAAATTTATCATGGTCGTGTGAAGATTGGCATTCGGTTATCTGAGCGTTATCATTGCTTTCGACATGTGCCATCTTCAAAGGATCCCTTTAAGTTTAGCTTCTTCATTTCTGTCATTCCATATTGGAATTCTCTTCCTTCCTCTTTGGTTTAATAATTGCAAATTTAAAGTTTTTTCTACTGCGATCTTCAGTGACAGTGTTGATCTGTATATTTGATCAATGTTGTCTCTCTGTCTTTGATATTGGACTTTGACGACTAATCTTTATGAGGTTATGACGTTAACGAAAAAGTAGTGTGAAAATTCAGTGATTTATATACTGACACTTTGCTAAAACCTGAGAACAATATATACATGTATATATTGTTCTCAGGTTAAACCAAAACAAAAAAAGACTGAAGTGTCCAGCTAACTGTAATAGCGCCACCTACCGATTGAAAAATTTTCGCCAATCAATCTCTTATATGACCAAACTAGCCTGGTACCCGGCGTTGCTCGGGGAAAACGCTTAGGAACAACTTTTAATAGCAAATTCAGCCACATATACTTACTTAATTTTAAAATATTTTTACCCCCTCCCCTCACCCATACGATCCCCATCAAAAAGAAAAGAGAAGTGTACTGGATTCACATTCTAAACACTATCCAGCCACACGGACTCAATCTACGGGTAGAGATTCCGGGATGGATAGAAGACAGTAATCACCCACCCACCAGCATGGTATACACGCAAGGCTAATTCTCAGCCGACACTCTAGGGTAGCGGGTGGCTCGATTTATATTTTTATAACTTGTTTTACTTAATTCCAATGATAGATTCGTAACAGAGAAACAAACTATATTATTCTGACACAAACAGTTCGAACAATTTTCTGATTCTGTTTAGTCAAAGCTTCTGGATATACAACATTGTTATGAAATTGCGCGAAGTTATTAGGAATATGCCCCTCTGGCTTTGCAAGCCTCGCCTCGCCCTTTAAATACACAATTGGTGACATCTGTCACGTGTCTCTCTTATTATTGGGATTCGCTTTACATCAAAAGAATACATGAAAACTAAACTAAACTAAATACATAGGTCAATAAACTAAACCCGTTAATATAGCACGGTATCAGTTCAGGGTCACTTTCATCGTAAAATAATGAGCAGATTTAAAAAAAGTTAATATTTCTCTAAACGTATGGATATCACCTCTTTTTAATCAAATTAGTTGGTCAATTTGGCAGAGTTCTGCATCAGTGAAGTCACCATAGATAACATTATCAAAAAGATGAATAGCACCTGATTTTAACAAACCTAATTCTTTATACCATGTTATACATTATATCCGAATGTATACACAGACAAATTACAATTTTAAAAATACAAATGAACGAAAATGAACCCCTAAAAGTGTGTGTTGCGCTGCGCTGCCTTTGAGACTCAACTGACAACTGAGTGCATAATAATTTTTTTATATAAATTTGGCATAGTTTAACCTGGTATTAACAAAGTTTTGGCTTTTGTCCATTAAATGGCTACATTAGTGGGAATTCGGCTATTCTACTTTTGTGACATCACCCCACTGCTAAAATTATCGCCCGTATTAAGGCCTATTTATCGTCATTATACCTACAAATATGGGTAGATTTAACAAATATGGATTAGCCTATATTGGTGTCCGACACACGGGATATACACTAAGATTGGTGGCGTGGGCTGGATGCTCAGAAGATTACCGCGTCTGAAAATCGACCTCTCCTCTCTTATAATATAAATAGTGGACGTGATATAATTAGGAGTGGATAATAGAGTATTATCCACTCCTGATATAATTAGGCCCATGCAAAGCTGGTAATAGGCCCAGCCCAGATGGGAAATGTAGGCCCCATTTCAAACTGCTCATTATGTTTCTTTGAATTCAGTGCTGAAGACATATAATTTATGTATGGGTATATACATAATATGGATTTATGTATGGGTATATACATTTACACGCAGTGTATATGATGTACTTACAACAGGCCCGTCACAAACTTTTCAAAAATCGTTCCAAACTTTTCAAAAAGGGGGTGGCATGACAGGAGTACTTAAGATTTTCTGTGAAATAATGTGCGCCAAGCGCACATCACGAGTCCCTCACGACCAGGGTTGGGCCCTGAAAGCTCTTCTAAGGGGTTTTAGATGCTCTCTGGTGCAATCTGAGCCTTGTTTTGGACCATTTTTGTACACAATTTATGACCAATATTTTAGAAATATTAATATTTTGTGCTAAAGGATCCTTATTGACTCTCTTTACAATATCAATATTCATTACCAAAGGGACCCCCTTTGCCTCTACCAGGGGGAGTAGGCCCCCTCAAAATCGTACGCCCATGCCAACTGGCCCAACTGGCCGCCTCTGCTCTGGCCTGGATATAATTACTGTTATTTCGCTGTAGTGGAATTGGGTTTTAGACACTAAACCCGAAAAAATATACTGTATACACTGTAGCACTGGAGCAGACGCTTATGACTAAAGCAGCAAATAAATTCTGCCACAAAGCTGTGTATATATGTGTGTAAAAGTGCGTGTGTGTATGAAGCTCTTTCTGTGTATATCTGTGTGCGAGTATATGATCTAGATTAGGAAATAAATTTTTGTGGTGCTATATGTTTTTTAATTAGTAACTTGATTGCTTCCATTTGATTGCATAGAATTGTATACGTTTTTGGATGCATAGATGATGTCATGAAATCAGAAAGCTTAGGAAAGCATATTGAATTTTATAAAATACGTTCAGAGAACATCGTTACCATATCTCTTAATGGATATCGAATATTTAAGTCAATACTATTACTACCCCTCCCCCCTTCCAATTGCCCATTTGATGGCGATCATGTTATAGAAACGGTAGCTAAGCAGCAACTAAATGCTATTTAATTACTAAATTTATCACTATTTTATCTTGCCGGTAGGTGGCGTAAGTAATCTGAGAAATTGCCGTTTCATTTCTGAGGCAAAACCATTGATATCATATACATCTATACTATAAAAGGGAACAGGCCATTTGTTGTTACCTATGTTCTCTTAATCTGCTCGCATGATTTCAAATTGCTTGACTGTAAACGATGCATTACTACTCATAGAGTGGTATAGGCGCACTTTTGCAACGATCAAAACACGATAAAGTTCAATTTGAAGCAGTTTCATTTAACACTGGTCTACCGATATCAGACCGGTATATCGATCGACGTCACTACCATTGTAGTACGTGTTGCAACTATATGCAGGTACGCACGCGCGCACGTGT